TATTTAAGAAAATGATGATAGCTAAGTTTTATGATCTTTTAAAAACACAAACCAGAAGCCAAATAATACAGATCATTAAAAGTAAAGCAGCAGATATATTTTTAAACATTTCAGTGATGAACCTGAGAGGGGAGAATATTGGGGGTGTGTGGCATGGAAGAAGATTCATGGTTGACTAAAGCTCCAGTCTGAAGGCAACTTTATACTCAATATAATAGAGTGTGTGTCTGGGGATCTGTAGTCTGGACTAGGGAATATTTGGATGATCTAAGCATCTATGTTCCATTTTAGAATTGACCATGAAGAGAGTGGTATGGAAAGGCAGTAATGAGGTGGCTTCCACTCACCAAAATTGCAGGCCTGACCACTGAGGGCAGAGAGCTGCTGTGAATAGGCCCAGTCTTCATCATTAGGGGCAGAGATCACCAGCAGTCGCCTCCTCCATCGGAACCTGGAAAAGAAGCAGAAGTCTGCTATTACTGCTTCGAACACTAGAATATAAGAAAGCAGTGTAACTTTGGCTGTTGGTGTTTTTCTGTGCTCAGAATAAAAAACACACCCTTAGAACTGTCCCATAGCTCCTCAAGGAAGTTAAACTGCATTACCACACTTTTGCACATTTTCTCTTGTAACTTCACAGTCTGCCTACACTGGTGTTTGCATAATGTGTCAGGCATGAGTCTGTGGTCACCATGCCTGAATGATATCACTTGGGGANAATTGTATGTTCCACTGTAATGACAGAAATAAGGAACTTGGAAGAGAACTGAAGAGAACTCATGTCCTAGTAGAGTTCCCTGTAGGGTTTGAAGAGGGTTAAGAAATAAATATATGAACAGGAGATAGAATAGAAAAAGAGAACTTTAATTTTAAGTAGATGACAGTGACAGAAAGAAGGAAAATGGGAGAGTGGCTCAAAGGGTCAAAGAGAGTTCCTGAAAAAACAAAACCCTGTGTACCTTCCTCAGTAGCCACTGGTTCTTCCAGATGCAAATGTGAGTTCTAAATTTACCATATTAACATTAGTAAGAGCCAACACTTACAGAGTACTGCCAGGAAGTAGAATGGTGCTAAACTGAGAGCC